TGGCCGACGGGGGGCCCTTCCGGCCGGAAGGGGCAGGCGGCCTTGGGGACATGGGCGACACGACTCCGGCTGAGCCACCCACGCCCGAGGGCTCCCCCATCCTAAAGAGGAAACTGGGGGTGAGAGTGCGGGCGGGGTCTTCTGATCTTGGAGAGAAATCGATGGTGGGAGGGAGGAAGAGAGACTAACGGGGGTGGAGATGAACGTAGACGGGAGAGAGCCTGAGAGACAGGTACACGCAGAGACAGAGGAGGAGAAAGACGGACGCTGAGAGAGACAGGGGGTAAGAGACACGCAGAGAGAAAGAGACTCAGAGATGCAGACCTGGAGAAAGGCCCTTCATGAACGGATGGTGCTTCCGGGAGAGGAGGCTACCTGCGGAGAGCAGAGACCCAGACACCAAAATAGAGGGAAAAGGGACCAAGAAGTAAAAGCACCCGAGACAGGGTCAGTGACGCTGGGAGAGACAGACTTTCAGAGATACACATGGTCACGGGGAATTAAGAAGCGTGTGTGCGCGTGTGTGCGTGCATGCTTGTGTGTGTGTGTGCGCGCGCGCGTGTGGTGCGTGCGTGCGTGCCACCAAAGCTTCCCAGGCCTTTGGTTCCTGTTGTCAAGGTGATAGGATGCTGAGGGGGTTGGGGGAGCAGAGGAAAGCCCCGCTTGGAGTCAGTCTGACCCTGTACAGCGCTTTGGGCAAGACGCTCACCGTCTCTGAGCCTCAGTTTCCTCTCTGTAAAATGGTAATCAATGCTTCTTCCTTCTGGAGGAAGGGACTGTAAAGCTTAGATTGCCCAGGGAAATGAACAGAAAGGGAGACAGACAGGAACAGTAGGTCAGCACTGAGAAGTGCTGGGATGGGGGTTCCCAGGCCCTGATGCTTGCCCCGCCCCCAGGTGGAAGGAGAGGAAGAGGAGCTGCCTCCAGAGCCTGAACCGGAGCCAGAGAAAGCCGAGTGAGTGGCCTTGGGGCCTATGGGGCCCAGCCCCTATCACTGTCTCCCTCCTGGACAGAGAGCTCCTTGAGGTCAGGGCCAGAGGCTGTCCTGGTCACCCTGTTTCCTCAGCAGCACCCAGCCCGGGTGCAGTGAAAGAGAATAAATGAGTGCTCCCTGCTTACCCCCAGGCCTTTGTATGTGCTGTTCCTGCTGCCTCCTGGAACACCTTCCCCCATGCTTCACATGAGTCTCCTGCATCCTTTCCGTCCTGGCTTACACACCTCCTCCAGGAAGCCTACCTTGACATCCCCTCTAAGATGAAGAGATGTCTCCTCTGGTCTCCTACAACCCCCTGGGCTTCTCCAGCCCAACCCTGACCACTCTGGGCTGTCACTGCCAGGTGACAGGTCTGCCTCCCCAACTGGATGGGGAGACCCATGAGAACAGAGCCTCAGGCTGTCTTATCACCCTATGTCCCCAGCACCATCCAGTCCTGGGCTAGACATGGGGTGGGTCCCTAGTGATTGGTTTTGAATGAAGGAATGAACACATTGCCTGGATACCTCCTGACCTCTCTATGTGTCCCGCCCTGCAGTGCCGAGAACGGGGAGAAGAAAGAAGTCCCCGAACCCCCACCAGAGCCCCCCAAGAAGACAGCACCTCCCCCACCCCCTCCAAAGAAGGAGGAAGCCAAGGGTGGGGGCATGGAATTCTGGGGAGAACTGGAAGTGCAGAGGGTGAAGTTCTTGGTGAGGACCCAACTGGGGCACACTGAAACTTCCTCTCCCAGGGATACCCCGGCATTTACACCCACCTCCCCTCCCCACCCTGTTCTTGAGCTCCATGTGTGCCAGGTGTGTCCCTGAGAGGAACCCAGGCTGGGGAGAGGGCAGAGATGTCCCCAGCCAGGACCTGGGCACACGGCGACATTTTCAGGTGGTCCTCTCTTGACTCCACCTCCCCCTGCTCACGACCCTCATCCCGATTCTCCATACCTTTGCTCATCCGGGGCCGCCTGCCTAGATCTCCCACCATACCCTCTGTCTGTAACTAAATCCAGCTGAGACCATGGCTCTGGGCCTCCCACCATGGCCTGGTTCATGGCTCTCTGCCTTCTAGTCTGAGCCACTATATCAGCCCCAGCTCCTACACGGGCAGGGGTGGGGTGGGAGCTGAGCTCTCATGCTACCTGGGGAAGAACTTGCCTCCTCATCCAGGCCAAGAAGAAGGGAGGGCCTTTGGGAGGGCAGGGCCCCGGGCTCCATCTGCCTGTCTTCTCTCCAGTCTGACATGAACGTGTTGGACAGAAGGTGTTTCAATGAGAATTCATGGGAAGAATGAGGGATGGAGTGAAAAGGGAAGAGAGAAATGGAAGTTGTCCCCTGCCTGGGGTAACCTCCTGCGGGAAGCAGCATAGCAGAGTGATTGAGAGTGTGGACTAAGAGCCTGACTGCCTGGGTTCAAATCCCAGGTCTCCTACTTTCTGGCTTGCTGACCTTGGGCAAGACACTTCACCTCCCTGAGCCTCAGTTTCATCACCTATAAAATGGGGCAGTACATAGTAGTACCCACTTCATAGGACTGTGGTGAGAATTAAGCAAGCTTGTGTATATAAAGGGGGCCCTGGTAGCGCAGTGGTTAAGAGCTTGGCTGCTAACCAAAAGGCTGGCAGTTCGAATCCACCGGCCGCTCCTTGGAAACCCTATGGGGCAGTTCTACTCTGCCCTATAGGGTCTCTGTGAGTCGGAATTGACTCAATGGCAACGGGTTTGGTTTGGTTTTGGATGTATATGAAGGAGTCCCTGGGTGGCGTATACGGTTAATGCACTTGGCCACTAACCAAAAGGTTGGAGGTCTGAGTCCACCCAAAGGCACTTTGGAAGAAATGCCTGTTGACCTACTTCCCCAGAATCAGCCATTGAAAACCATGTGCAGCAAAGTTCTACTCTGACACACACGGGGTGGCTGTGAGTCGAAATCGGCTCAGCAGCGACTGGTATGTACAAAAAGCACTTAACCCAGCTCTCGGTATACAGTAAGCACTCAATAAATAGATTGTGGGACCAGGTTGAGGACCCAGGTGATTTGATTGTGGGTGAATCGTGGGATGAATCCCGGATGGTGAGCTCTCTCTCTCCCCCCTTGTCTCAGAACTACCTCTCTCGGAATTTCTACACCCTGCGGTACCTTGCCCTCTTCTTGGCATTTGCCATCAACTTCATCTTGCTGTTTTATAAGGTGCTGGTCATGAGAATACAGTTCCTCTTACCCAGGCCATGGGGTGGGAGGGTCAGCCCCCAACAAGCTCCCAGGGCCCCTACAGTGAAGGGACAGGTGTTGGGCAGGGTTCCCAGGAGGGTTTGGGCTGGACGCCTGGATCCTGGGACCCCCGTGGAGGTAGATGTGGGCATCTGGGTTCATCTGGGGCAGATGCCCAAGCAGCTGCAAGGGTTAGGCATGGAACTGGCTGTGGGTTCCACGCCCAGCTCTAGCACTTGCCAGCCCTGTCCCCCTGATGACACACTTCTACCTTTCTGCAACACCACCTAGTTCAGTTAAACTGTTTTGCTTTGCTTTTACTTAAGCTAAAGAGAAATTCGTAGGGAAGAGGAAATAGGCATCCCACAGAATGGAAGGAAATGGTTAGGAACCAGGCCTCCGAAGGACAAAGGGGCACTTGGGGTCACGCCAGGGATCTAGATAACAGGACAGAGGCATAATAGCAGAGTGATTGGAACATGGATACTGTGGGATCGAACCCTGGCTCCACAACTCACTCGTGCATGATATCAGGCAAGCTGCTTAACCTCTCTGTGCCTCAGTTTCCTCATCTATGAAATGCGGATATTAACACTATCTTACAATTGTGGGCATTAAAAGAAGATTAATATGTGTAAAGCAGTTAGAACAAATACCTGGCATATAGAAAGCGCTGCATGTTAGCTGCTATTATCAGTAATGTTAATAGTAGTGGTCAGTCTCTCCAGGGCTTCACTATCAAGACAAATCAACTCGACCTGTTTTCAGTCTTTCTGTCACTCAATTCAATACTCTAACTCCCAGACAGTCTGATTTGCTAACTAGAGTCCTAGGCCCGCCCCCTTCATCTTGATTGACCGTCCCACCAACACTGGGTCAGATGCCCTCCCTCCCCTCCCCCCAACCCTCTTTAATGGAAGCTGTTAATTGTGTTAGTGGGTTCTGAGGATAGCAAACCAGGTGTCAGGACACCGGGGTCCCTGCCTGACTGACTTCTGCCCCTACATCAGGTGTCAGACTCCCCACCAGGAGAGGATGACATGGAGGGCTCCGCAGCAGGGGACCTGTCAGCCGCAGGCTCTGGCGGCGGCTCTGGCTGGGGCTCGGGGGCCGGCGAGGAGATAGAGGGCGACGAGGACGAGAATATGGTGTACTACTTCCTGGAGGAGAGCACGGGCTACATGGAGCCTGCCCTGCGTTGTCTGAGCTTGCTGCACACGCTGGTGGCCTTTCTCTGCATCATTGGCTACAACTGCCTCAAGGTGGGTCACGAGCACAGCTCCAGGGCGGGAGCTAGGGCAGGAGACCTAGTGCAGTGGCTGGGGCCGGGGAGCCTGTGGTTGGGGGCAGAGTAAGGGCTAGGCCTCCAACAGGGGAGGCTTGAGGCCAGGAGGGCTGAGGAACTGGGTACAGGACTGTGTCTTCAGCAAGGACGACATTCAAACTGGGAACTGACGCGGGTCATAGCTGAGGAGACGGGTCCTGGACGACCGGCCCCTGCCCTGCGCACATAACTATGTTAATTTCTCCGTCGAGAGGCAGATTTTTCATTGGAAATATTGATTTTCTGCATGTTGGTCAGTTGGCGAATCAAGATCTGTGGGGGCCTGTGGGGTCTCAGAACATGGGTGCTAACGGGGAGTGGGGGAGGGCGTGCGCTCTGACATCAGACATGCTTGAGGCTTGTGATACCCCATAGGTGTGTTATGAGAGCTTCAGTGTAGGTTCTATGAGGTTTGTTGTAGCAAATGGTGACACTTTCCTATTGGATGAACAGTTCTCTTTTGGCCTACAGCTTTTGCATATGCTGTTCCCTCTGCCTGGAATGCTTTGCCTCATTTCCACCCCTTTTCATCCTTAAGGTCTGAGTTCAGACCTCTCTTCCCTGGGAAGCCCCAAGCAGCATTAGGCACGTCCTCTGGGCTCCAACAGCCCCCTGCTTCTCCCCCTTCCCGCCCCACCCTT